GTACAACTCCTTCCATTCCCCACCTTCCAGTCAGAGGAGAAGAAGCTTCTTGGGTGAGAAGCGAAACGTCTTCAAAGAAAAACCAGAAAGTCCAGTTGCCTCTTGGAAAAAGCACCTTTGGGACAACCCATGACCTGGATGACTGAGAATCTCCATAGATATGTTCTTGCAACAAATTATGAGTACTTAATTTCCAGAGGCCTCTCCCTGGTCGAACCCAAACTCAAGGTAATGAGCTTTAGGCTGTTGCAGGATCCAATCTGGGTCAGCCGTCGGGACCAAGGTTTAGCCTTCTGAACTCTTGCTGGAGCCCATCCCTAGGGAAGAAGGATGGGTTCCAGCATCAGTCCAAAAGCTTAGAAGGCAGAACCTCTAGTCCCAGGGACTGACCCAGATTGGATCCTGTAACATTATCCTGGGACACGGATACAGGTATTCCTTGACTTGCAACAGTTCGTTTAGCGACCGTTCAAAGCTACAAAGGCACTGAAATATCGGATCGTTTCTCACTTACAACCACTGCAGCACCCCTACGTTCACATGATCAGAACAGAGATGCTTGGGAACGGACTCCTATTTATGACGGTTGCAGTGTCCCGGGGTCATGTAATATCCCCTTTTGCGACCTTCTGACAAAGTCAATGGGGAAGCACGACTCCTTTGACAACTGTGTTATTCACTTAATGACTGCTAAGTTGACAAATGTGGCAAGAAAGGTCGTAAAATGGCACAAGATCCCCTTAACAAATGTCTCACTTAGCAGCAGGAAATTTTGGGCTCAATTGTGGTTGTAAGTCGAGGACTACCTGTAAATTGTGAACTTTGTAATGTCTGAGATGCCAGTGAGAACGTTGAGCGTCCTTTCAACAGGCGAAACCCGCAGTTCTACGGCCATAACCTTGTTTTCAAGGAAAGATAATTTAGTTTGAACACATCTCTGTCAGAGTAGAGATATTCATGAGCTGGAATAGGGCTTAGTAACAAGGTCAGCCAATGGGAGCTGAAATACTTTGGAGCCTGGGCGTGGCTTAGCTGTGGAGCTCTGAATCTGTGCAAAAGCTGCAAACTAATCTGCTCTCTGAAACTGAAACGAAAAACTGTTCTTCCCTCTGCCTGTGTTTGTTTGTACTCTCTATTATGTTGGAAGACCCAGCCATTGGTGTTGTATTATGTCTCGTGTTATTATGTATATAAAGAAGTTGATGAATCCTGTTGAATCAGTTACCTGTGTGTGCTTTCTGGATTTGATTTCTGCCACAAACTCTGACAATCTCGATCTGTCTTATCGCATTTATGCAGCCATTAAGTTTGCAGTTTAGGTTTATTTTCAATGCTAAGATCAAGCCTGTTGCAAGATGAGAAACATTTTTATTACAGGAAAAGGATACCCTTCCTTCCTTCCTTCCCCCTAAAAAGACAAAAACAACCTTGCCAAGTGCACAAGAATTAAAAAAAAAACAACCCAAATGCCTCTTTCCTAAACTACAGAAGTCTTTGGTTGATTTTCTGGTTGGCTTCTGTGGCAGCAGTTCCCCTGTAAGGAGTAGCTTATTTTTCATTTTGGCATATTAAAAAGCAGGTTTTCCCAGATTGAGTCGGTAGAGGTGGAAACGCTGAGCAAATGTGCTGCTAAGAAGTCAGAGAGTGAAGCCGGGATGAACAGAAACGGGATGGAAGTTAAGAATTGCCTTTCTTTCTTTTCTTTTAATTGCAAAGTGCTTTAAGTTGACCCATCTTGAGAAAACAAGGCAGATACAACGGTTTATGGAAAAATATCCTTTTTCGAGAGGGGATCCATTTTTTTTGATCTCCTGTTATTTATTTTTTGCTAGCAGGCAGTTTGTATTTGGTATTTGAACAGATTCCTCCGAAACGTTGGAGCCAGCTTTTAGCATTTCCTCAGGTTGAAGATTCTTCATTCTGTTCTGATCTCTCTTTTCCCTCCTAAGATGGAAGATACAGGTCCGTTCCAGATGTGTAGCCCCCAGATGTTATCGCCGAGGGAGGCTGGGACCTGCTGTTCAACATCTAGACAAGCAGATTCCCTGTCATTTGGCATCGATCTATAGCTAAGTACATGCCGTTTCCCCAAAAATAAGTCTTAATTTTTTTTGACCCCTGAAATAAACGCTTGGCTTTATTTTTGGGGAGGTCTTATTTTGAGGTTCAGAAGGCTGCGAGCGTGGTCACCTCATGGCTGCTGCTGTGTTGTAATATTTTCAGGGAGGGCTTATTTTTGGGGGAGGGCTTAATTTTAGCGCATGCGCTCAAAAGCCAGATTGGGCTTATTATCCGGGGAGGCCTTATTTTCAGGGAAACAGGGTAGTAGAATGAGAATTTCATTTTTCCAAAGGGAAATGGTACCTCCCCAGCTTTCAGTTAAGCAAAGAGCCTTATCTTGCTGGGATGCTGTGTGCAAACACATCTGTACACATCTGGGTGTTTCTTAGGAAATGCCACCATGCTGCTTACGGCTAGACTTTTTTAAAAATGGTTTCAGTTTCTATGCTAGAAATCAGGGCTACTGAGCATCCTCAAAAATATTTAAGAAAACAACAACTCTCCCCCTTTATCACGTGGAAAGAACCCTTAGACCCGTGATGGCAAACCTATGTCATACATGCCCAAAGCGGCACGCAGAGCCATGTCACCTGGCACGCATGGGATCGCTCGTTCCTCTTCCGGGTTTCTGGCGCGCATGCACACGCAGCAATCAGCTAGCCTGCGTGCGTGTGGCAGTGGCAGAAATTGGAAGAGCTGGTCATCCATTTTCCAGCATGAACATGTGTGCCCCCAGCTTATCATCGTGCACGCATGCACATCAGTAACCAAAGGACTAGCTGGCAGGCGTGCATGTGCGCAGTGGAAATCAGAAGTTAATTTTCCGGCTGGCACATTTCCCCCTGGGCAGCTCCTCTTCCGGGTTGTGACCCAGGCGAGCGCCTATGCACTCGGTGCCGAAAAGGTTCACCATCACTGCTTTAGAAAAAGAAAACTCTGTTCAACAAACTTATGGGGGTATAAGCTTTTGGAGCCAGATAGGCGGTTTGCCATCTTGGTTAGAAGAGGGTCTGTGGCATCGTTTGACTCGGGAGGGCATACAGGAGGGAATGGGACAATTTGCTGCAGCCAATTCGCCGTGGGGAGATTTAACAATTCTATTTCATTATTTAAAAATAAATAAGCTATTTTGATTTTTGCCACTCACGTTTCATTCTCTCCCTCCTTTTGCACCCTTTCTTTTAAAGATTCTATCCCACTGTTTCTTTGGATATTAGTGTCAATCTTGTCCCATACAGAGATGGCTGTGGTGAGATGGCAAGTGGACTGTGGCGAATTGTCATAGACCCCCATATGGATTTGGTCTCAAAACCACCAGACTTGCTAATTGCCTTTTATTTCCTAGAGTAGCTTCACTCTCCGTCTGCAAAAACATGCGACGTAGACCAAGGATAATGCTGCAGGAACCTTCTGCGATCAACAAAGCAACACATTTGCCTTCACAAAATGCCACACGTATTTCTCAACCTTGGCAGTTTTAAGATGTGCGGACTTCCATTCCCGGAATTCCCCATGGCTGGCTGGGGAATTCTGGGACTGGAAGTCCACACATCTTAAAGCTGCCAAGGTTGAGAAACACTATGCCAGACTGCCTCTTTTAAAGAGGAGCTTAGTTAAATCAGAAGGAGCACTCAATCGTGTCTTCCTTATTTGCGTATAAAGTGCAAGAAGCTTTTTTTTTAAAGTCAAAAAGCGATTGCTAAAAAGAGTAAAAAATCCTCCCCCTTTTTAAACTCCCCCCCCCCCCCCAGTAGTCTCAGTCCTGTGTTGGGAGGCAAAAAGAGAGTGAAAAGTGAAGAGGATGAAAAATATTTCCTTCCTGGTTTCTTTTGGTGTAACATTCAAGCAAACATATGCGCTTTAAATACGGACAAAGCAGATGGGGAACAATACCAGCCCCGGCCTCATCAATTCGAATAAAAGCCCCGTTCACCTTTCTGCAATTTAGAACACATGTGTGTGTGAGGTTTTTTTCCCCCATGTAATTCTTCATCTTTGAACTCCTTGCTTGCTTCTTCATCCGCCATCTCGCTCACCACAAAGGCTTGAGACAGACGGAGAGCGAGAGAAAGCAGAAGTTGTCCCTCTTTCAAAGCATATCCTGTTCTTGGAAAATTGTCCCATATTGTACACGAACTTAGGGAAAGGTTTGAAGAGCCCCAAATCTCAAATCCGGAGATGCAATTCTGGCAGCTGCCTCCCCAACTTTGCTTCTTCTGGGTTTTGACCACCATTGCTACCCGCCCCCAGGAAGCAGCTGGTTGTTCACACAACAGCCTTCTCCCTGTTGTGAGGCACGGACCATTTGGTACAATCAGAATTGGCTGGTGCCAATCTGACCTTGGCAATATTCGGCTGTTTTATGAATTTGTGGTCCAAGTCAAATGGCATACAGATTGTTCTTCCTTCCACATCTTCTGCAGGACTTGCAAAAAATGAAGACTCCAGGAGTGGAAACTCTGTACTGGTGGTCGGATCCTATCGTTTAACAACTGGTTGGGGGATCACACGCTTCGCCCGAACCAGTCGAATCCCACCCCTGCTCTGTACCAAAGATCTATTGCATTGATCTCCAGGCTCTTACTGACCTTCTCCAGATGGTCACCAGGTAGCAATTCACAGCATGATCCATTCCCACAAATGCTTGTTTGGCATGTTCTCAGCAAGGCAATGATTTCCAAAGAAACGGGACTGATACATTTAGGAGTCTGTCTCCTTTTAACATGTCAAAGGTCGCTCACCCTATTCCGTCTGAGGGGTTTCCTTTGCATGTACCCACACTTTACCCTACTCGATATCTGTTTCCTTCTCATTGAAGGAAGGCTTACCCTGTGCAAATTTTCAGTAGTCCACATGCGTCCATCAGGGATCTTTTTTTTTTTTTTTAAATTCTTTTCGGTCACTGATGGGACCCGTTTTCTAAGGAGAATTCTCAGGCATTAGGAACGGCAGGCAACGCACCGAAAATCTGCCTCTTTCACCGCACTATAACTGCAGCCCGCACAGGCTACGTGGTACCAGGCGTCGCAGCCATCGCACTGGACCCACTCCACTATCTCGTCTTGGGGAAGGCGGCACCGGGGAGCTGCACATGGCTGCGGGGAAGACAGAGTCTGGGAGAAAACTTGGCCAGCGCTTCCCAGAGGATTCTTCCGAGGCCGGCCACGTCGCTTCCTGGAAAGAACCAAAACAGAGATAACACATTTGTAACGCATCATAATCATACCCAGGCGCGTTCCTGAGATGGTGTCAGGCCTGCCCCAACTTAGATCCTTAGCAAAGAAAGACCCTCGATTCCATTCGGTTGAAGTGATAGGTTCTTTTATTAAAGACAAGTGGTTGCAGCGAAAGTAAGGCTAGATCTGAGTTTTCCTGTGCAAAAGGTTGCTATTTTCCCTTTTCCCTGGCCCTCCTCCCTTGATCAGTTCAACAGTGTCCAATAGCATCCCTATTGGATGTTTTGGGAAACGGTTTGAAGCTGGGCACTTCTCAAAGTAGTTTCACATTCCGTTCCCAGGCCAGGCATCCTTGGCGGTGGATTGGGCTGAAAGAGAGAGTGAGTGGCCCAAGGTCACCCAGCTGGCTTTTATGCCTATGGCAGGACTAGAACTCACAGCCTCCTGGTGATTGGCCCAAAGTCACCCAGCTGCCTTTCTGGCCTAAGGCAGGACTAAAAGTCAGTTTCCTGATTTCTAGGCTGGTGCCTTAACCACTACATCAAACTGGCTCTCAGACAGAAGTATTTTGTTAAGAGAAGTAAAAAAAGGTAAGAGTTTCCCTGTCTGGTTGTGTCCGATTGCAGGGCACTGTGTTCATCTCTGTTTCTTGGCCGCAAGAGCCAAGCATTGTCCGAATACATTTTCGGTGGTCATCTGACTAGCATGGCTGTACACCAAAGGCACACGGAACACTGTTACCCTCCCACTGAAGTGGTATCTATTTATCTACTCGCATTTGCATGCGTTCAAACTGTTAGATGGGCAGGAGCTGAGGCAGTGGTGAATTTTTTTTTACTATAGGTTCTGTGGATGTAGCTTGGTGGGCATGGCAGGGGAAGGATACTGCAAAAGCTCCATTCCTTCCTCACTCCTGGGGAAGGATACTGCAAAATACCCTTTCCCTCCCCACTCCTGGGGGAAGGATACTGCAAAATCCCCATTCCTTAATCACTTCTGGGGGAAGGATACTGCAAAATCTCCATTCCCTCCTCACTCCTGGTGAAAGAATACTGCAAAATCCCCATTCCCACCCCACTCCTAGGAAAGGATACTGCAAAATCTCCATTCCCTCCCCACTCCTGGGGAAGGATACTGCAAAATCTCCATTCCCATCCCACTCCTGGGAAAGAATACTGCAAAATCTCCATTCCCTCCCCACTCCTGGGGAAGGATACTGCAAAATCTCCATTCCCATCCCACTCCTGGGAAAGAATACTGCAAAATCTCCATTCCCTCCCCACTCCTGGGGAAGGATACTGCAAAATCTCCATTCCCACCCCACTCCTGGGGAAGGATACTGCAAAATCTTCATTCCCTCCTCAATCTGGGGCCAGCTAGAGGTGGTATTTGCTGGTTCTCTGAACGACTCAAAATTTCCGCTATCGGTTCTCCAGAACCTGTCATAACCTGCTAAATTTCACCCCTGAGCTGAGGCAAGGAACGAAAGCTCACCCCTTTGCAGGAGAATGGTCCCGAGCCCAGTCTGTCAGCTTTCCAGCTGACAAGCTCAGGTTCTTTAACCGTGCTCCTTTAAGAAAAAAAACATTGCCTATAACATAGAACTTAAAGGGACTCACCCACTTGGCGTGATGTGAAGCTTTGGTTCTGCATCTTCCTTGATGTTGGTGCTCCCTTCTTGCATTCTTTGCTGGAGCCTCAAATTGCTACTCTGGCAACACCGGTAAGTCCCCAAGCGCTGCTCCTTATCTGGGGGTGGCTGTTCCTCTTCCAGGCGTGCGATTTCATCCTCTAGTTCAGGAAGCACCGTGTGAGCCGACTTACGGCGGTTGCGGGATGGTTTCGGCTGGGCGGGAGGATCCGCTAATCGGCTCCCACTCAAAGAGAAAGTAAAAGGCTGGGGCTTCAGCTTGCTAAGGCTGCCGATGGAGCTGAGGATGAGGGTGGCTTTGGGGCGGCACGAGAGGGAGGTGGGCGAATGACGGGATAGGGGACGGATGCGATGGTTGTCAGAAGGCAACACCGGCCGGAAACCAGAGGAAGACGCCCACGGGGCTTTGGGTTCGGTGATAGCTGCAAAGTCTTGCGGCCGGACACGGACTTTCTGGAAGAGGAAATAAAACTCGGAGTTGCCGTGTGGGGGTGGCAACACGCAACCCTCGGGCACCGGGCTGGGATGGCCGAAAGTCAGAAGGTCTCCATCGTTCAGATCTACCCGCTGGCCGTGGGACATGCGGAGAGCATTGATGTATGTGCCTGAAAGGATAATTACACGGGGAGGAAAAATGTTACAAGTAGTCTAATCCTCAAGGTATGACCGGCCGCTAAACAATTGGTTGAAGTCACAACAGACCCCAAAAATGTACTAATGACCCAGATGTGAAGTTCTGATGGGCAGTTCTCTCCCCCCTGTCCACCCCACCCCGCCATGATCACATTTTGGGCACATGTATGGCCATTTGCAGCATCCCAGATTGGATGACATGACCCTGATTGTTGATGGTTTTCTGTCAAAAACCAGCATTTATTTCCAGTTTCTGGCAAAAAAAAAACCACCCACTGCAGACAATGGATTCAGCATTCACTTAAGAATTATTGCCATAAAAAAAAAGTAAAATCAGGCCAAGCCTGTGATGACCTGCTTAAGGACAGGTATGACTTACAAGCATAATTCTGAGCTCAGGTATGGTTGTTAAGTCAAGGACTATAATGAGCCACAGTGGCTAGAATGCAGTGCTGCAGGCCATGTCAGCTGACTGCTAGCTGCAGTTCAGCATTCAAATCTCACTAGGCTCAAGGTTGACTCAGCCTTCCATCCTTCCAAGATGGGCAAAATAAGGACCCAGATTGTTGGGAGCAAGAGGATGACTCTGTAAACTGCTTAGAGAGGGCTGGAAAGCACTGGGAAGCGGTATTTAAGTCTAGGTGCTATTGCTACCTGTATAGGTAGTCCTCGACTTACAACAGTTCACTTAGTGACAATTTGAAGTTACAACGGCACTGAAAAAATCATTTATGACAATTTTTTGCATTTACGACCGTTGCAACATCCCCATGGTCACGTGACTTACATTCGAACGTTTGGCAATTGACTTGCCTTTATGACAGTTGCAGTGTCCCAGGGTCACACAAACACCTTTTGCAACCTTCTGATCAGCGAAGTCTATGGGGAAGCCAGATTTACTTAACAAGCATGTTACTAACTGAGCAATTCCAGTGATTCACTTAACAACGGTGGCCAGGCAGGTTGGAAAATGGGACAAAACATCTATCTGACATAGCATAGAAATTTTGGGCTCAAAATTTTGGAAATTATGGTCATAAGTTGACCCCCGAAATAAGCGCTTGGCCTTATTTGGGAGGGGGGGCTTATTATTTTTGAGGTGCTGGAGGCGGCAAGCGTGGGCACCTCATGGCTACTGCTGTGTTGCAATATTTTTGGGGAGGGGCTTACTTTGGGGGAGGACTTATTTTAGCGCATGCGCTCCAAAGCCCACATGGGCTTATTATCCGGGGAGCTCTTATTTTCAGGGAAACAGGGCACCTGTATTGTAGTGTGTTTCATATCAGGCCTTTTGGAATGTGTATTTCTCCTTCAGAAATGAACTTGAGTTTTAAAGTAGAAGGTTGACGCCCCTTATATAAATATCACCTGTACTGGTCTAATCAATTATTCAACTTCTGAGTTGTGGGTTTTGTTTTGAAATCCTGAAAATAAATGAATGAATAAAAGCAATTCTTAACCCTCAAAAATCCAGCCATGCTCAAATTCAACACATTTAGGAAGAAGTGTCTGAACTCTTTGATATAGTGGTTAAGGCAGTGTTTTTCAACCTTTTTTGTGCAAAGGCACACTTTTTTCATGAAAAAAATCACGAGGCACACCACCATTAGAAAATGTTAAAAAAA